TGAATAAATAAATAAATCTTAAAAAAAGATATGTAATCATCTTATAAAAGTATAACTTATCTGCAATTTTAGAGGTCTCAAAAATATGTATGAATCAAGTAAAAACTAGAATTTAAAAGAGAAATTTTAAAGTGAGTGGATGTAACAGTGACAAACTGATTTAAAAAATAAACTAGCAGTTAGAAATAGAGGGGAAAGCAGATCACTTATAACACACAGTGTTTTTAACTTAACAAAGTACTAAAGGCCTAAAGAAATGAATTGTGAAATCCAGTGAAGGATACAAAGTAAGGTCTGAACATGCAGGTCACGCTACATCATTAATAGGAAGACCTGCTGTCATAGAAATATAAATCCTCCCTAAAATACTACTTAAATGCAATGCAGTTCTAATCAGAGTCCCAATGGGGTGTCTCTGAAACTGATTAGAATAATGTGAAAGTCCTCAATAGATATTAAAATTTACGATGAAGCTACATCAGTGAAAAATGGTATTAAAACAGTAATGGGCAAGCAGTTTGGTAGGATAGAACAGAGTTCAGGAATAGTCCCAGGTCTATTGAAGAACTTAATCTATGAGCAAAGTGGCATTTGACTTCATTGAGAAAATAACTTACTTTGTGTTCACTTAAGAAAAGATGCTGGTGTAATGGACTATTCATCTGAAAATAAACAAAATCAAAGCCCTACCTCATACCATAAACAAATTAAAGACCAAATGGATTTGAGGATATGTGTATAACCTTAAAGCCAGGGAAAGCCTTTCTCAGTAGGGCACATAATTCAAAAAATAAACAGAAAAAGATCATTAGATTACATGATAATTAAAGTGTTTTTGAGGCAAGAAACTATAAAGTCAGTCTCAACACATATATTAAACAAGCACGGCAAATAAAGGATTATTAACATTGCTTGCCTCAGGTAGTAATCAGTGAGAAGATAGGAAATAATATTTTTAAAGATTTTTTTTCTAATTAATGCATACAGAACTAGGGTACAGGCCAGAGGTGCAGTGGCAGTGAGAGGATTCACCAGAGAGAGAGTGGGGAGCAGATCAGGACTGATGAAGGGAGTGGGGGGCATTGCTGAGGGGGGTGGGGTGCGGGTCAGGAGAGGTCTGCCACGCCATGTGGTCACCTCCGGGGCAGGCGAGGATCGAACTCATGCGGAAGTGGCTTTAGCTTCTTAGTGCTGTGCTTTAACCCGCTGCACCACCAGGAAAGGCCTGGAAATAATTTTTGCAGTTTGGGAAAAGAAGAATCAGATTAATTTTTAATTAGGTAGGATATGATGAAATGTTTCAGTGACCTTAAAAAGTGGAGTGCAGTGGGCAGGCAACAGATGCTGAATGGCACCATCTGAAGTGAGAGAGGAGCCATTCAAGGATTTCAAAGCCAGGAATGATGTCATGAGAGTTGCATCTTCAGAGAAAAATATTCTGATTGCACTACAGTTAATAATTAGAGGGGGATAACATCTGAGGCAGGAAGTGAGTTAGATGGTAAGATGATAAACTAAATTAGTGTGGAAAAGTGGGAGAGGAAATTGAAAGGATTCAAGAGTCATTTATGAGATAAAACTGAGAACCTGAAACCTATTAAATATGAGGGGATAAAAGAGGGAGAGGGAAGAATCAATGTAACCCAGCTACCTGGCACTGGCAGTAGGGGCACCCAATGCTATTTGTTAACCCTGGATGAGAATTAATTTTGTATGGGAAAGGGAAAACGATAATGAGTTTTGAGTACGTAGAGTTTTAGGGTCTATTGGTGATCCTCAGAGACAGTCATTATGTAATTGGACCTATGTTCTTGGAGCTCAGGAGAAGTCACCTATGTATAAATATACAAGAATTGTTACTATATGGACTCAATGAGAGCACTATAAATAGATGATGTCACACTAGGGCATGGTGTAGACTGGTGAGAGAACTATCAAACAATCTCTCAAGAATGCACTTAATTAAGTTTCATGTGCTTAGGCAAGAAGAAGAATGGAAAGTAGATTAGTCCAATGCTGTTTTGTCATTTCTCTCCAATCATGACTGAGGGGAATCCAGGATTTTCATAACAGAATTGGATATGCTCAGATTGATATGGTAGTATTGTCAATTCAGAAGCTTTAGACAGACCAGCAGTTCCAAAACCTGGGTCTAACCCCAGTTCCTAGATTTCAGGTATTGATTTGAAAGGAATACATTTTTTTACATCATTGTTGTGCCTTTTCCCATCTCAGTTGTAATCCCTGTGGACTTCACCAATTCACCTGTGTTCCATCACCATAGTCCCATGTACCACTCCCCACCCCACCCTCATAAATGTCTCTGGTATATAGTTCATTATTATTATCCGCCACCCCCCCACCCCCGGTCCTTTATGCTCCTTCTATGAGTGAAACCATCCACTATTTTTCTTTTTCTTTCTGGCTTATTTCACTAAGCATGATCCCTTCCAGCTTCATCCATGTTGCTGCAAAAGGCACCTGTTTATCCTTTTTGATTGCTGAGTAATATTCCACTATGTATATGTACCACATCTTTTTTTTTTTTTTT